TAGTCCACGTTAAAATATTTAAAAAGAAGTTTAGATTATTCCAGAATCATCAGAATGAAAAAACAATGCTTATATATAATTCAGCTGATAGGGATAAGGTACAGGAGTGTGTCTACTTGTGCGAGTGTGTCCACTCCACAAGTAGACACTTCCAAAGACAAAGTTCTGAGATGACTGCCTAATCAGCTGTCATGCCCCAGGAGTTGACTGGGAAGTGTTTGCCTAGAAAACCTTCACTGAGGTTGTGTCTGGGCTGGCCCTAACAGCAAATGGAAGTTCTTATTGAAATATTTGAAATTCTTTCCCCAGAGCAGTCCAATAAAGCAGAAGCTTATCAAGTATACAAAGCATATTCTCTTAGTTAAATTCTGGTTCTAGGCATAATGAAAGTAGGATGTGAGCTGAAAGGACAATTCACTCAGCTGCAGTTTACATTTATATCTTTTATTAATTATTGAGATGAAGCACTCACTTAGAAAATGGCCTGACATGTAATATTTTTCAGAAGCCTAAAAAAGGTAACTTTTGTAACAAAAATGACTTCGTGTTTCAGAGCTGATATGCAACCTGAGCCTCATATATTCTGCTCCATTTAAAACTTCTAAAGTAAATACAACTCCCATATGCCCAGTCAATAGACGCTGAAAAATTTTCTGGGCATTTTCCCAGAAAGTCAACTGTATTTTCAATCAACAACACTTTTTAGTGTTTCTCTCAATATTACTATCTACTTCTAAGATAAGGCAGAAAGCATAGGTCACCTTCACCATAGTTTAATAATCAATAAATGACAATCAATGAGACTCCCAATGGTTTCAGTCAAGTGAACTGCACCCCTTTCCTGTACAGGTTGGCCCTAGGGCCTGAGATCACCACAGTTGCACCAGAGACCTGAATAGAATGGAAAACCACAGAGCTAAGGGATCAGCCCCTCAGGAATGTTTCAGATCAGAGCCGAGGATGTGGTCCAAACTCAAGTTGCTGAGCAGAAGGGGTCTGGCAATGAGGGAGAACCTGAGCCTGTTAGTGACCAAGAGGAGCTGAGAAGATGGAAAGTTTGAATACATGAATGGAGCTGAAGAGCAGCCTGTCATGGTACGTTAGTATCCATTCTTACTGCCAGCTCTGGCAAAGGATGCTGGAAAGAGCACCTCCATAGTAGGCCGTTGGTTTGGGTTTTGGGGGTTTTTCTAACTATGATGATTCCATTTTGCTCAAGTTTTGTAATAATTTCACTTTCTATAAAGGAAAAAGAAGTGATAAAAGCCATGGTAGATTTTTAGCTAATATTTTTGGATACTACTTTCTGAAGACCAATGGTGTGGCTTATTATTATTCTCTCTCTTAGGTGGGGCTCTGAGGAAAGAAACTATTTTTATTCAGGAAAAACAATAAACCACTTGGATGGTGCTGGGAAAATAGAATATTTTAATCAGGCTCCCCTCACCTCAGGGCCGGTTGGGGGTGGTTCAGTAAACAAACTGGGGTGGGGTGGGGGATGGAGTTAGTGCACCTGTGCAGCACCACCACTTTGGCTGGTGTTTACTGCCTGGGGCAGCCACTGTAAGCATGACCATGCTTTTCCAAACCTCAGCTTCCAAGGACCTTTTGGCCCGTTACCTAGCTCATAGACCTGCATGAAGGGATCTGGTGATCCCGCCTGGTGTGTGAGGGGTCTGGGGACCCAGCCTGGCATGTGAAGGGTTTGTGGCTCAGTCTGCAAATGGGCTTGAGGGGTCTGTGGGCTCCAGACCCAGCCCTAGCTAGGGAATTGGCCCAGTCAGTATGGGTTTACTGGCAAGTAAAAGAGCCAGACAACTGGTGTGGTCACCTAGCTTTACAATTGGCATCACAAGCAGGAGTAAGAGCTAGACAATTGGTGCTGTGAGAATTCCAGGCCTTAGCCTAGCCAGACAGATGGATAAAGAAAAGAAACAAAAAGAAATATTGAAACAGAGTTGTAAAAATTAAGATGCAGTTTGTGGATAGAGTGGAGATAAGGAGAGAGAGGGTGGAAGAAGGGCCCCAAGCCCCAAGATGGAAACAGAAGACACCAATTTCACATAAATGGCTCATTTCCTTTTAAGAACAGTGAAGTCCAAAATCCAATTTAAGCAGCTTGCCATTTGAAGCCATGCTATGGGTCCTTGTCTCCCCCAGCCCTCACCATTACCCACAAATATCCAGTTAAAGTATGTATTACACCTTTTACTTGAAGGGCACTTTTAGGTGGGGATTATCAAATAAACAGATTGTGACCCACACTGAGAACACTCTAAGAGTGTAGCCACAAGATGCAAAGTAAAACATGAATGTTCCATATAAGCTGGGAATTTGATCAAGAGGAGGCTGCAAAAAATAAAAGTCTTTGGGAATTCACAGAAATCTTGGGAAGCACACTGGATTTCTCTTTGCAGGTAAATATGTGTTCAGGCTGATCTTAATTTGAGGCAGCCCTTTATGTATACTATTGAGAGTGATTTAGTAAGTGTGTTCTGAAATGGTAAACAAATCACACTAGGCTTTCTTGACTCTTCGGGGAATGGTGTGATGTAACAGAAGTTTTCACTATCACAGTGGTAAAGCACTAACATGTACAGAAGTAGTGAAGGACAGCTGGCATACCACTGAAATGCTCATAATCTCTATGTCCTTCTCTACATGATGGAGAGAGCCAAGTAAGGCAGAATTTTTAAGAACAAAAATACAGAACTATGTCCATACATCAAGAAACAAGTCACCTGGAAGTAGATTTTGTTAATTTGGGAAGAATTGCTTGAGTAGTACGGTGCCCATCAAGATAGGCTGGGAGAAGTGGAACTTAGTTCCCAAAGGGGTGTTTTAACTCATATAATGGAGGCTTTGAGCAAGGGGAACCAGAGGCAATGTCAGGATGTGGTTGGTCATTCAGAATTCCTGCTCATAGAGCAAGTGGAGATGAATTATTAATCCAAAAAACAAAAGACTTGAAGCTATGTAAAGACTGAGCTGGTGGAAATGTTCCTACCTGTCGTGATCTCCGTTCAATAGCTGCTAGTGATGTTCCCTTGCAGAAGGGGATGTGCTTTCCAAGGGAGTGCTATCTGTTTGATGCTAGTCAAAAGAAAAGTGAAAAAACACTTATAGAGTTAAAAAAAAAAAAAGCTTTGGAGCAAAAAAGGACAAGAATTTAAATCCAATCCTGCCACATTCTAGCATTGGGATTTAATCTCCCTTCTTGGTATTACTGGAGCAATAATACAAGTAAGTTCTGTGATTAGTGGCAGGATTGTAAATTCAGAGAAAAGTGTACATGTTCTAATTTTCTCTCTCTTAAGACAATGTTACTAGTATTATGCAAAAATAAATTCTTGGAAAGAGAAATTTCTCCCTAGGAGTATTAACAGAATGTAATAATTAACAAACGTTTGAGTCCTTGGTGGTGTACTGTTTCCAAATCTGTTGAACACATCTAATGTGTTTATAACTGAGGACCAGTTTAAGAAAATTCAGAACATGGTCTACCACATGTTCTTCAAAATCTATTTCTTCTCTAATCTTAAATGACCCACATAAAAGGTTGTACATAAACTTTATCTGTTCATCAGAAAAATGATGTGAACTGCTGACAATTTCTCCTCAATTTCTGCTAAAAACTGTTGCTGATTTAAAAAAAAGAAGAAGAAGAAGACTGAACTGTGGCTCAAAAACAGAGTTGGCAAAATCTCTGGAATTCCTACTGCCTTGAGTGATTTAACTCAGTTCAAATCTGAAAAGGTTTCTTAAGCCTTGTGAGGAATATTTTCCAGTCCCATGCACATTATTATCTGAACCTGTGCCTTCTGTAAGTACTTCCACAAAACATGTGCTTGGTTAAATATTGCACAGGGGTTTCTTTTTTCTTTTCAGTTGAGTCTTGTGCTGTTTTTATTTTAGAGATTATGTTCAGTATTCCTGAGTCACAACCTGTCACCCCCTGGAAATTTTTGTCCTTTTTCTTTCTTTTTTAAAAAATTATTTGTGAAGCTTCCTCTGTCTATTGTGAAGTTACATTTTTTGAAGTTACCTCCGGAGTTTGCAATTAAGGAAAATCTGAACTCAGGTGCTTAGGTGATGTTGAGCAATTACAAATAAATCCATTAGAAAACCTTTATAAGAAGAAATTAAAGTGAGTTCTTTAAAGTATAAAATAAAGAAAAATCAATTTCTGATCAAATAAATTGAGAATAATATACTCTAAAGCATGAGGGGAGAATAATGACTTTTACAACATACACACACACACACACAGGAATATGTGGAAAATCCCTAAAATGTAAATATATTTTTTAAATTTTCAGAAATATTTCATAATTACTAGTTGATTATTTTAAGGCTTCTGGGCTTGCTCTAAGCAAAACAACCTTTCCTTCTTACAAACCAAATTATCCTCTCACACAGTTGATTTAATTTCTGATTGATAAAGGTTTCAAATTTGAAAATCCACAGCAGTCTAGTTAAAGGAGGATTTATGCTTCAGGTCATAATTGCAGAATGTTCTGCTTGCCCAATAGATAAAATTCTGAGAATATTCCTTTGTTACTTAAGCTTTCAATTAGCTCTTTCTTCCTGCACTTTACTTCATAGATGATAAAGAACAATATTCAATAGACTTCCCATTTTCCCCAAATTAAAATTTTACAAGAAAATAATGGGTCCCTTTGGGCATGCATAATGGAAAGTCAAAAAAAAAAGGCTTTGCAAAGAGGGAGGTCACAGCAATGTAAAATTTAATCGTCAAGCTTTAGAATAACTACCCCAGTTTACTTTCCTCTAAGTTGAATAAACTCTAAGCCATGTTCAACCTTTTGTCCCCAAATCCCTCAATGGAAATGAGCTCCAGTTGACCATTGTAGTAACTGACCTTAATTGTTTATTGATTCCTTCCCTTTTCTAGCTTACTTCCTCACTCCCTTATCAGTCTCTCCAATGATTACCTCCCAAATAAACTACATACACTAAAACCTTGTCTTACAGTCAACTTCCAGGCAACTCAAGTAAAGACAGGGCCTTAATATCCATATGTTCAGAGTCGCCGGCCCCCGCGGACTGCCCGAGCCGCAGCCGCCTCCGCCTCCGCCCGCGCATTGCGGACGCCCAGCAGGAAATAAGAAAAAAAAAATAAGAGGAAAGCCAGCAAAGGACTGCGCAGAGGCGGAGTGAAGCGCTCCAGACCGGCCCAATTCTGCGACCTCTGTGAGTCACCCCCAGCCCAGCCCCACTTGCGGGGCAAAGCCCGACTGCTCCCCACCCGCCTGGCCCCTGCCCACCACACCAGGCTAGGTGCCCACATCAAAGCTGCCTCCATTTTCTCGGGTGGGGGTGGAGAAGGCCGGCTTAGGGAGGGCAGGACAGCCATCTCTGTTTGGCGTGACTCCTCACTGAGACGTGCTATTTGCTTACCTCGACACGGGGCACCCCGGGGCCTGTGGACTGGCCTACAATCCCACTCTCCCCGCGGATCTCTGACGGGGCTGGTAGCGTGGGGAGCCCCCGGCCAGCGTCGGGGGGGCAGGGAAAAGGAGCCCGCCCAGATCGTCTCTCCACCACACCCTGGGCGTCGGCCCCAGACAAACTCCCTCTCCCAGAGAGGCAGATTCCACCTCTGGGGACCTTAGTTTGGAAGAGCCCCTAACTGATTTCTGGTGGGGAGAGGGGAGCCCGGAGGCCCCTCGAGCTACATTGAAGTTTACTACTCAGCTCTCCAAAAGGGCTGACCCGTGCTGGGGAGAGTCAAAGAGGAATTGTGTGCTGAGGGACCCTCCCCCGAGGAGTTCACTCCCGGCAGTCAGAGAGTCAGGACACCTGCTGGGCAGGGCGGGGCAGGGCACAACTTTGATGACTCAACTGAAAGTCAAGGTTTGTAGAAGACACGCCTCAGCCCTGTCCTGAGCACACAGAGTGGGGAGGGGGCTGGCTAAAAGAGGGGGAATCTCAGAAATAAATTAAGAAAGAAAGATCAGGTACACAGCCGGCAGGAACGATCTGCAAGGCTCAATAGCCCAATCTATTGAATCGGAGGTCCAAGATTCGAGAGAAAACCCCTGCCAAAATGAACAAACACCCAAAAAGAGATACCCGAAATGCAAAAAACCAAGAAAATACACCACCAAAAGTCAATAAATCTCAAACTCTAGATCCTATAGAACAAGAAGCCCTTGAAATGAATGACAGGGAATTTCAAGTGTTAATCCTAAAGAGACTGAACGAGATACAAGAAAACACAGCTAGACAACATGATGAAACCAGGAAAAACATACAGGACCTGAAAGAGGAAATGTACAAGGAAATCACCGTCATAAAAAAAAACGTAGCAGAACTTGCCGAACTGAAGAAGTTATTCAGCAAAATAAAAAACACATTGGAAAGTTTAACTAGCAGGATAACAGAAGTTGAAGAGAGAACCTCGGTTCTTGAAGATGGGCTCTTTGGAATAATACAAGCAGACAAGAAAAAAGAAAAAAGTATCAAACTTATCGAAGAAAATCAGAGAGAGATATTAGACAACCTTAAGCGCTCAAATATCCGAATCATGGGTATTCCAGAAGGGGAGGAAAAAGGCGAATGTATTGAAAACATATTCAACAAAATAGTGGCAGAAAACTTCCCAGACATAAGAAAAACCACAGATCTACAGATCCAAGAAACTCAACGATCTCCAAACGTATTCAACCCAAAAAGGGCTTCACCAAGGCATATTATAGTCAAAATGACAAAACTCAAGGACAAAGAGAGAATCTTGAAAGCTGCAAGAGAGAAGCATCAAATAACCTATAAAGGAGCTCCAATCAGGTTAACATCAGACTTCTCAACACAAACCCTAAAGGCTAGAAGGGAATGGGATGATATATTCAAAATACTAAAAGACAAAGATTGCCAACCAAGAATACTCTACCCTGCAAGGCTGTCCTTCCAAAATGAAGGGCAAATAGTATATTTCTCAGACAAACAAAAACTGCGGGAGTTCATCACCACACGACCACCCTTACAAGCAATTCTCAAGGGAGTACTGGGATTGGACCCTGAAAGATAATTACCACAGCCATAATAATCCAAGCAAAATCAAAACCCACCAGTATAATAAAAATGACAATCATGAAAAGAAAACAAACAAAAACACTAGCTGCAACCTAAGGAACCAACAAACACAGAAAACAAATAGCAAAACAGAAAGCGAGGAACAAATATCACTTAAGAAAAC